GGTGTGTAGTGGTATGCACACCGCATCACGAGCCCTTGATTCCCGGCCATGGAGAACATCACTGATATCTGAACCAGTCCTGGGATCCTACCTACCTCCTCACCGACCAGCATGGTGAAGGAGGCAAAACAACCCCCATGACCCTACACAGCCTGGGAATGCCTTCGTCCAGATAGTGCATTGACAAAGGGCTGTACATTATTATTATTATGAGTATATGTGTAACAAAAACTGTTGAACACAATTTAGCATCCATTGAAAAATGATTTGGTAGAAATTACAATTATGATTTATATACAGTAGCGTCTGAATGTAATAACCCTGTCATTTGATTTCACCTGTGATCAGTGTCTGTGCGAGTGTCCCCCATTACATGCATGCCTTGTAATGCATCTGTGTATGCTGGGTAAAAGTAATCACGTGAAGCACATTGCAAAGAAAATGCTTGCCACAAATGAAACACAATACCTTGCTGATCTCGTCAAGCAGCATAAACCATCACGCGAATTCGGGTGATCCTCGCAGCGGCTTTTGGCTAACCATCGAACAAAGAAAGACGGTCACCGCATCGCGCGCTTTCAGATGCACTTCTGCGGCCGTCTGAAAAGCTCTTCTTTCCGATATTAGGAAGGCACTGGAGCTATGCACTTTTAAACCTAGATTGAACACTAATTTATTTTTGAACTGATTTTTTGTGTTTAGTTTGTTGTCCTTCCCCCGCACCTCCGATTAGCACGGTTGGCTACATACGGTGCGAAAGAAGTTCAACGTACACACATACGTGGCACCCGTCGTGGCTTCAAGGCCTCGTCGGTGGCCTGAAGCGCCCCTCGCCCCCTGAGGCATGGAGCTACGTCCCGGGTGAAGCTGCGAGGCGAGCGTACATCTGGTAAACTTGTGCAGGTTGGGTTGGATCTCCTCGCGGAACTTGGCGATGACCTCCCTGACCAAACCCTGGTTGGGGTCGCCGTCCAGAGTGAAGAGGTAGGACTCGAGCAGGTGGGTGTTTGACAGGTTCCAGATGAAATCGTCTCGTTGCAGGGAGTGCAGGAACGGGTGCTCAAACTATGCAGATGTTTAAAAATGAAGGCGGTAAGATGACAAAAAATGCAATACGAGATTAACATCGCATTGGCCAGTTGAGTACATATGTAAGTTAAAGGCAGCAAAACGTCAAGCTAGCAAAGGATAGTCTTCGTTTCAAAAAAGATGTTCTCCTTGACTTATTATTTTCTCTTTGTTTTTTTTCGGTAAAGTCACGTAGGTAAAACTATAAAATAAAAGAATGAATGAAAAAACAACTACATTTTTTCATCATCAGGTGTGAAAACCACAACAAGAATTTTTTTTTTTCAAATTTCCTTGTTGTGGTTTTCACACCTCATGACGATTGCTTGTGTTGCAGTCGAAACGTCGTGAGAATTTCATTGTTTTATATTTTTTTATTATTTTATTGTTTCCCTTCTACGTGGTGGTGACTTTACCGAAAGCAACAAGAATATGAATCCCTGCAGTCTCACGTCACCTGTCAAGAGGCGCTCGTGCGCTCGTACCTGCTGCAGGGCTTGGTGGATGCTCGCTGCCAGCTTGCCCACCTGGTAGTACAGGCTGCCATCCGCCAGCACCCTGGACAGCGGCACGCCGGGCAGGTACGTGAGCAGCCGAACGTTGAACTCCTTCTCTCCTTCGCCGCAGTCTGAGAATTCACAGCAGGAGTCGCCACCGAGGTCAAGAGGTCACCACGGTTAGTGAAATCTCACCGTCGCTTCCTTTTGCTGGAACATAAAAAGCTGTTCGGAAGCTGATATCGGAACCTCCAAGGTCTGGCCAAAGTGTCAACTCACCACTTTGCGCCCTGTGTCCATTACCCACGTGCTATACTACACAGGGTCTCTTATGAATTGCTCAACTGATAGCCAAGGCTACTATTCTTTTTTTAGGAAATTAAGCGACAATTTGCTGCTCAGTATTAAATGGTTAATAACAATAATGAACGTGCTAAGTCCGATATATAACGCACATAAAATTCGTGTAGTCTTTAAAACGCCAATCTCTCAAGCAACTTGAATCGAGTATTTCTGTTCCCCCCCCCCAAAAATAGTAAATTGGAGTGATTTTTTCCTCATGACTTTCTTTCACGATACTATTAACGCAGAAATTAATAACACGAACGCATTCCGAAATTCGCATTCCTATATGGCCTTGTTGTCTAAACCGCTGTAGCTAAATAAAGCATTTGAGAGGAATAATACCTCGCCACACCCATGCGTAAGGCATCCGCCAAAGTTGCAACGTGGCACGCAACCCTCACGCCTTAGCGCACGCTGGCCGGAACCGGGGGCAATTCGCCCAGGTTCGGGCCAGAATGGATACGTCAGCACCACGAGTCTAGCTGAATTCCCTGGGTTCAGCTTGAGCAAATTACTTAGGAGCAGGGTGAATGGGGGCCCCATCTGCATCAGGAGGCGACTTTTATCGCTCGTTCCATCACGTAAATATAAGGGTCAGCGGCATTCCGTGTTCTTCGCATTCCAAACACGGCGTTGGGTGGCGATGTCAGCTCACGCGATGAACCCCGAGCCTGGGTTTAAAGGAGCGCTGCTAGCCCAGGCATTATAATCAGAATATGTACTTTTACTGGAGGAATCCGATGAGCTATGAAGCACTTTGCTTTACAAATGTTTAGCAGCCCAGTGTTGTCCCAACTACAGCCCGTGGGCCAAGCCCGAACCACCAAAATTAATTCATTCTGGTCTACAGGACAACTATCCCGCCACGCCTTACAAGAACTAATTAAGTACATGTCTCAGTCAGCAATACTCACTTGAAATTACACACGACAACCGTCGCCCCCGCGCCCTACCCCCAACTGAAAAGTTTGACAAGACCCTCCCGATACTCAGTGAGGCTCTGCTGTGAAAACAAGTGTAACGATGATGATTACAATAATAATATTAATAGAAGTGATGCGATGCAGGAGGTCGGAGTGGGTGTGGGGGAGAGATAAGCTCTGTATCGACATGTTTGCATTTCTCTAAATCTCTCCTCTTGCGGATAGATCTTTCTCCTATCTCTTCCATATAAATATATTTCTGATTAAATCTCTCTATGAATGAGTTAAATTATGACATCACCCTGCTGCTCTATTTAAGACCGGGAGCAAGTGAGGGCTTCACCATTCTGGCGAATTGCCCGATGATGCTGGATGTAATTACCAGCGAAACGTCGTACTCAAATATTGTAAATGTTGTGTATTCACTCATCACACCGGTGGGCTGAAGTAGTGAACTATTTTGTCTGTTGTCAACGTGACACATTTTTTACTGTTTGGCTGTGTCGGGTGGTGGAGGGTTACGACAAATTTATTAATAACGCGATCTCACCCAAAAACCTTTATCATGAATAAATCTCTCTCATATCTCTACATTATATTGCTTGTGACATCTCTCTCCCGTCTATGCTTGTTCATGTAATACATGGTTTTGGTTTGACGTGTTCCCCTTGTCAGCCAATCCGGAACTCGATGCAAAGAGTTTGACGTTTGCTTCTCTGTGCCATTAAAACGTCTCAGGGTCTCGTGGGAAGATAAGCAGAAACAAAAATTACGATTTAGGTTTCGTAAGTATGTTGAAATTCTTTCGCACCATACGTACGTAGCCAACCGTGCTCATCGGAGGTGTGGGGAGGTGGAACACACTGTGCAGTTGGCGAATGGCGGCGTCGGTGAACTGTACAAACATTATATCTACCAACCTGCAGGTCAGTAGATGAGAAAACAGCAAGTGTGCTTCTGATCTCTCACCACAGATGTTATCGTCTCGTCCGTGTGGCTTTGCTGTGAGCAGTCATTCCAGTTTCATCCCACACACCAAACATTGTTTTTTTTTTATATATATGAAGAATTTACAAAATATCACAATGTGGACCTTGGGCCAGTACCAACAAGCAGTGCGTTACATCCACCAACCTCACAAAAACTAAAAAGTATGATCCTTTTACATCACTTATCGTCAGTGGAGTGCGACCCAGTATTATACCACCGCCTCATGCTCGGATATTGATCGTTGTCTTTGCAAGTATAAACCAATGCTGTGTTCGTATGATTACTATCAGCCTATTACTAAATCACCTAGAATGTGCCCTATCATAAGATCTGAAAGCTAAGCAGGTTGAGCCTGGATTAGGGCTTCTATGGGTGACAATCGTGCATTAAACAGGCATCACAGGCTGCTGCGTGGTGCTACGTTGTGGGGGCCAGAGTTCAGTTGCAGCAAAATCAATTGTACTGCACTGTACATCTATTAAACTTGATTTGTCGCTTTCGTGACTGCAGGAATTACTCTTTGGTTTTTTCGGTAAAGTCACGTAGAAATAAGAAATAATAATAAAATTACATAATAGCATACGACGTTTCGATTGCAACGCAAGCAATCATCATCAGGCATAGAAGAGCTAAATTTAAGAGAGAGGAAACACAGAACCGCAGATAGATATACAGACACCTAAGTAGAAGGGAGTTCACACAGAGACACAAAGAGAGACACAACGTACGGAGCACAGAGAGATAGGGTCTCTGTGCCGAGGCCTTAGCATGTAGGGGGAGACAAAGAGAGATGGAGACGCACATCAAGTAGAACAAGATTTAGTATAATGTACATCTCTTCTCCAATGTCTCTGCTCCCGGGACCCACGCAGGCGCAGCTCACCGATGCTCTCGAGCGACATGATCTTCCCGCTGACGTTGTCCACCACCTCCTGCATGGGGAAGCCCCTCTCCCGCAGGAACCTCATCATGGCCATCTGCACCTCGAGCAGCTGCGGCCGCTGGCTGTCCCGCGTGTTGGTGACCTTGAGCACGAACTGGCGACCGTCGCGCGCCAGCACGCGGTAGTTCTGGTCGACGTAGCTCGCCAGCGGGCTCATCCCCGTCACGCTCACCCCGTAGAGGCGCTCCACCAGCTTCGCCGCGCGGGACTCGCTGAGGCACGGCTTCTCGTGCTCGCGGCCATCGTCCTGCGGCGCGGCTTGCATCGTCTTCAACGGACAAAACGAGGGCAATCAAAAAGCTTTTGGGGTTTTGCAAGTGCACGTTGGCGTCCGCTCCATTCGTGCAGCGCAAGGCGCCTCCGATGAGCACGGTTGGCTACGTATGGTGCAAAACAAGCTCAGCATACACACGAGGCTACACCCTGGAGGCGCTACGCTTCACGGACAGCCCACAGTAGTTTTCGCATTTACAGAGTTGTGCAGACACACGTGGCATACTACTTATTTAAATTACATCTCCGAGATCTTTAGCATCCGACTGTGAAGCACACAGTGCGCAATATTTACAGTTCATACACCCACAGTATTAACCGGGGTGGTCGTGGGGCTCGTACCACAAACATCTGCAACGCGCTACCGCTCGGCCATGAAGTCAATCGATCGATCAGCGATCAATAAACAAGTCTCTTTGCTCGCATCACATTTAATAGCAACACATTTCACCGAACAGAAAAGCACCACTTAAACATATCAGATATAAGATTCGTAATAACAGAGAATTATCCTTGTGTATTTCAGTGGAAATACAGCCAGTGCCTGATAAAGTAGCATTACTGTAACTGGAATTATAACAAGAACCGTGGGTTTATGCAGCATTGGGGAGCTGCAGCTATGGCCCACCGAGTAAACACCTTGTCCCGTAAGCACGAAATCACGTGTTCAAATTCCACTGGATGTGTAATTGTGTGAATAATAATCAGGGCTTAATCTGTCACTGAATATTTTCCGGGTCGCTGGTGCGGAGTGGAGTGGGCAGCACAGCCCCGGTAGCCACGGCGATAGCGAAAGGTACACACTGGACGTGGTGTGCCGGGTGTCAGCAGATTTTTCAGAGTCGCTGACACAGGGCAGCCCTGGCCGAAATTATCTCCATACATATGTAAAAGGCAAAGTTGTGATTATGTGTGTCTGTTCAAAATGATTAGCGTACTTCCCGACATGCAACAAACTTGAAATTTGCCATGTGGGTACTTTCCAGACTGTACACCACGCAAAAACTATTAAAATACACTTTTGTGTTTTTTTCCGGGGGGAGGAGGGGGGAAGCTCAATAATGCATTTTTTGCACGGCAAGTGAGCTGTGACGTCAAATCTGTCACGTGACCCACGCATGTGGAAGCTTAACGCATTGTAGTGTAGTGGTTAGCGCACTGCGCTACGAACCCGGCAACCCGAGTTCAATTCCCGCTCACGGCCACCACCGGTGACGATTATTTCAACCGCTCCTGGGCCTCCCCTAGATCGACTTAGCCTCAAACGAGTAATTGCTGTGGTGTGTGAACATCGCCACTGAGGACACAAAGGCGGCCGGGCGTGGTGCTGTCACCCACCCCTTCGTCTGTATATATAAAAGCGAAATTTGTGAATATGTGTGTCTGTTCGAAATGTTTAGCATACTTCCCGACATGCAACAAACTTGAAATTTGCCATGTGGGTAGCTTCCAGACTGTAAACAATGCAAAAAGTATAATAAATACTCTTTGGTTCTATTGGGTAAAGTCACGTAGGTGAAAATAAAATAACAAAAAATCACGACGTTTCGGCCACAACACAAGCGGCCTTCATCAGGTGAAGGGACGAGACTGTCTGGAGGACAGCGCTGGAGTGAGAGAAGCCACGCTTAGATCACGACCTTTAAGCTGTGTGAGAAGAAAAACACAAAGCGCCTTGACAAAGGAATTAGCATATAATTTAGCATTGAAATGGCTCATTGAAATAGCTAAGTTAAAGTATACATATCCGCAGAGGTACCCCTTGACAAAGGAATTAGCATAGAATTTAGCATTGAAATAGCTGAGTGATTAGCTTGTAACTGGTCACAGAAATAGCTATGTTAAAGTCAGAGCATATTTCACGTAAACAAAACGTGCCAATTAGTTACTGCTTCAGCACACTGGTGTATTGGATAGTAAACCCAGAACATTTACCATTAGAGTATGACGTTTCACTGATTATTACAACCAGCTTCATCAGGCGATTTGCCATAATTGTGAAGAAGTATTCCTGTTTCCGTCTTTGAAGTCAACTCAGCCTTAAATGAGTACTTGGTGCAGGGTGTGAACATCGCCACTTGGGAGACAAATGCGGCCGGGCGTGGTGTTTGGCCACCCACCCCATCGTGTGTTGGGCCGGCCTTTATAGGTGTTGGCTCCCAGCCATTGCCCCGAGTCTGTTAAGGCTATACGGGGGTCTTTGTCTTTGTGTGTATGAGATGCGTGTGTGTGTATGAGATGTGTGTGTGTGTATGAGATGTGTGTGTGTATGAGATGTGTGTGTGTGTATGAGATACGTGTGTGTATGAGATGTGTGTGTGTATGAGATGTGTGTGTGTGTGTATGAGATGTGTGTGTATGAGATGTGTGTGTGTGTGTATGTATGAGATGTGTGTGTGTATGAGATGTGTGTATGAGATGTGTGTGTGTATGAGATGTGTGTGTATGAGATGTGTGTGTGTGTATGAGATGTGTGTGTGTGTATGAGATGTGTGTGTATGAGATGTGTGTGTGTATGAGATGTGTGTGTGTGTATGAGATGCGTGTGTGTGTGTATGAGATGCATGTGTGTATGAGATGCGTGTGTGTGTATGAGATGCACTGCTGTATAATAATGTACTACTCACTACTGAGTACACAGACAGTCCCCACTGTGTTCACAGCTACCACCCCAACGCACGCATAAACTCAACTCAGTCATTAAAAATGTTAAGTTATGTTTAGCAAACAATAGTCATTGCAACGTTATACTTGAATCTAATAACAAGTTTAAGGCACTGCTGTATAATAATGTACTTGTCACTACTAACCACACAGTACCCACTGTGTTCACAGCTACCACCCCAACGCACACATAAACTCAACACACACTCACACAGTGCGCTAACCACTGCACCACCGCTCCCCACACACACACAGTGCGCTAACCACTGCACCACCGCTCCCCACACACACAGTGCGCTAACCACTGCACCACCGCTCCCCACGTCCACCACAACCTGGCACCCGATGATGTATCGATCGGCTCGGCTTACCGTGGCTGCTGCGCCAAGTCACCTGCAGAGAAAATCGATTTAAATTTCGATTAACTATACTCGCGCCGATTCCTAATGGGATAACATTAGGAATCGATTATAATAGAGTTACGGATGTATGAGTCGATTTCAATTGGGATAACATGGGAACCGATTTATTTGTGGCTTAGGCTAATAAAATCGATTTGCATTGGGATAACATGGGAATCAACAGTGGTCTAAAATGAACCTTCATTAATCGATTCCTACTGTGTAGACGTGGGAATCGACCACGTTAGACGATCACGTGTGTGGGCGTGGTCTCTCAACGTCAATCAACCAGGTAGGGCGTTGACTGGTGGAGAGTTTGGGATCTGATTGATTGATTGATTGCTTCTGTGGACAGGTGTCTTTTATACAGGTAACGAGCTGAGATTAGGAGCACTCCCTTTAAGAGTGTGCTCCTAATCTCAGCTCGTTACCTGTATAAAAGACACCTGGGAGCCAGAAATCTTTCTGATTGAGAGGGGGTCAAATACTTATTTCCCTCATTAAAATGCAAATCAATTTATAGCATTTTTGACATGCATTTTTCTGGATTTTGTTGTTGTTATTCTATCTCTCACTGTTCAAATGAACCTACCATTAAAATTATATTTCTTATAATTATATTTCTTTGTCAGTGGGCAAACGTACAAAATCAGCAGGGGATCAAATACTTTTTTTTCCCTCACTGTAAACCCCATTGATCCGATCGAAATGAGGGATTTTGATCGGATCATTGGGGGGCCACGTGTCACCACCCCCCCCCCCCCCCCAAACAGTCATGAGCAGCACCTCCCCACACGCCCTGCCACCGAGAAAAATGTTTCACGTACGAGAGTGAAACTGATATTTTCATTCTCAGCTGGAATTTAGCTAAATGCAATACGCTTGAGAAACCTGGTTTAAAATCACAAGCAAGTTGCCTGAATTTCAAACCCATGGTCTCAGCGGTACAGCTCGGTGCTCTTGACAGGCTGAGCCAACCGGTCACTTCATCGCAAGCAACCGGAAGCATCAAGGTTGTCAATGCCGTGTGCGTCGTCCTAATGGGGAGCGGCAGTGTGGTGGCTTGCAACGCTGTGTTGCGAACCCAGTGAACAGAGTTCAATTCCTCCCCACTCTCGACCAATAATGGTGCCGAATATTTTAACCGCTTTCCATGGGTCGGCATGGCTTTAAATGAGTACCTGGTGCAGTGTGATCATGGTGGTGGTTGTGATGGTGGTGATGATCATGGTTGTGATGGTGGTGGTGATGGTGTCTCTATGGGTCTCTGTGAGTCCCTGAGCCTCTATGGGTGTCTACGAGTCTCAGTCACTCTGGGTCTATATGGGTCTCTATGAGTCTCTATGGGTCTCTACGGGTCTCTGTGTGTCCCTGTGGGTCTCTATGAGTCTCTGTGTCTGTTGGTCTCTGTGTATCTCAGTGTGTCTCTGTGGGTGTCTCTGGGTCTCTGTGTGTCTCTGTCGGTCTCTCTGAGTCTCTGTGGGTCTCTGTGTGTCTCTGTCAGTCTCTATGTGTCCCTGTGGGTCTCTGTGGGTCTCTGGTGGCCGGGCCTGCTGTTGGCCACCCACTGCTCGTGTGCTGTGCCAGCCTTCATAGACGCTGTTACTCGCCAACAGCAATTGCCTCAACAGTCTGTTATTTCAAGTTTCATTTCAAGTTTTCATGTATTAGGTATAGCCCTGTGACATGGGAATCAATAGTAGTCACCCACCTAAGTTCATTATAAATGTGGGAGCATTATACGCATTAGTTCGCTATCACGACATACAGTACCCTGGTGTCTACAAACTAAGTTGCCTCTGTGGTAGTAGTTACATTGGAGAAACCAAACGCCATGTCTCGGACCGCATTCGTGAACACAAAGCAGACCTTAAACACGGTAGGACCAACACCTCGGCCATGGCAGATCACTGTTATAATTCAGTAG